TCTTTGCATCAGGGTCTGTTCAGCCTCCGTGACAGTCCTTTATTGTCCGCTGGAATTGACCCAGGGACTCTTGCACATGCTGGGCAGCTGCTGTACCACTGAGCTGTGTCCCCAGCTATGTTTGTGAGCCCTTAATATGAACTTCGCAGCTACCTGGATCCAGGTTCAAGTCCCAGCCTTGCTTCATAACTCCTTAAGCTTTGAGAAATGAAGGTCATGGTAGTTCCCATCCCATCAGGAAGTTGCAAGCATCAAACTGCACATGTGTGAAGTGCCTGACACATTGCTTCAACAGACTGGTGTGAACGCCCAGCAGTGTGCTTTCTTTCCACAAACTTAAGATTGGCATATTCCCTCCATCTTTCTTGTCTCCCAACTTATGTCCTTGTCTATAGTATAAATTGTGGATCAACTGTCTGGGGATCCAGCTCTGTCCTTAAGAGTGTTTGCCTAGCATGCACAAAGCCGTGGGTTCAAGCTCCAGCATTGCGTAAACCAGGAGTGGTGGTGTACACCAATAACCCCAGCCTTCAGAAGGTGCAGGTCATCCAAAGCTACCTAGCAAGTTTGAGGTCAGCCACGAATATTTGCGATGAGATTGTCTCAAAATAAAATGTAAGTAAACCTGTAGTTGGGGCTTCTAAGGGGGCACTGTGACACTTGTCCCCACGCCCTCCTGAGGCTAACTCTCCAGACTCTGGGAAGATCTCTACATGGAAAAGGAGCAGCATTTGGGCCCTTGAGACCAACTTCGATATCCCACAAGTCCCTCAAAGGCTGCAGTGTCTGGGATCCTGGTACCCAGGTATAGTTGTTTTCTCCCCAGGCAAGGCCAGAGAGAAGCAGTGGAGGGCCAGGAGGTGAGAGTGCCGGGGTGGGAGGCTTGGGGAGAGTATTCCTATGAGGGGAGCACTCTGCACTGGCCTGCACTGAGATGAAACAGAATAGCATCCTACACAAGCGCCATAGCACATCCTTGCCCTAACCAACCCCTTAGAACCATGCCTTCCTAGTCACACGCGCTGGGTATAGAGAGGCCCCGGGGCTTGCAGGTCTGAAGGTTCTCAACAAGGTCCAAGAGCTGCTTCCTCCTCACACCTATACTGCTGGCTCAGTTGATGGAACCTCTCTGTGCATCAGGCTCTATAAGTGCATGACATTCAGCCACTGTTGGTACCTCCCTGCAGCCTCTGAGCCAGGCTCAGAAAAGGGACAAATATGTAGTAAATGAGGGGACCAGGGTTGGGACCCCAATCTAGAGCTCAGGTCCTTTCTTTTCTTTTCTTTTCTTTTTTTAGTTTTGTTTTATTTTGTTTGTTTGTTTGTAGAAAGGGTCTCACTACGTAGCATTGGTTGTCCTGGAGCTTGCTAGAGATCCAACTGTCTCTGCCCTCTGAGTGCTGGAACTAAAGTCATTTACCACCACGCCTGACCCCAATATGTTTGTTGGTTTGTTTGTTTGCTCTGTTTGCTTGTTTGTTTGACACAGGTCTCCCTATGTAGTCCTGGCTGGGCTTGAACTCACAGTATTTTAATAAATTTAACTAAATTTCAAGGCCTATTCTTATCCACTGCACTGTTCTGTCACCTAGACAGGTCAAGCCTGTGTTATTAGGCCTCAGACTGGAAACCAGGACTGAGTGGCTCCACCAACAGTAGTCCCTGACTGTCACATGCCCAGGACAACCCTCCTTACCTGGAGTTTCCAAAGCAAGATCTGGGCCCTTCATCCACCCAGCTTGGCCTTTTAGCAGGAAAACTTGAGAGAATTGGCCAAACAACAGAAAGCGCTACAGGAAAAAGGGACCTCAGGCTCTCTGGTGGTGGGGCTCCTGAAGGAAGGCAGAACTCTCCCTCTAATATGGGCAAAGGGGAACCTTAAGTGTGGCATAAAAACAGGAAGGGTACTGGCCAGGGGACTCCTTGACTGGGCAGAGGCCAAAGGGACAGGCCATAGCTATGGCATTGTTGTCAGGAACGCCATAGGCAACTCTCTAAGAGGGGCACAGGCAAGCCTCACCTCAAGAAAACAGCAACTTCTGTCTGGAGCCTATCTCTAGTCTTATGAAGCTCCAATAGGAGGGCCACAGCTTGAAGACAGACAGAACTCCTGACCCATGAGAGGGGAGGTAGAGCAAGAAAGCCAGGCCTGGTACCTTGTAGTGGAGCAGAAAGGACTCAGGATGGGTGTGGATCCATCCCCTGGGAAGTGAGACGCTGTCATAGGACAGTCAAGACGCCCAGCTGGTTCTGCACAGAGTCAGGAACCCAAAGAGATGAGCAAATGTTACTCGGGACAGGGCGTCACATAACTGAGAACAAACTTGCCTTAGGGGGCCAACAGCAAAGAAGAAGGAGATGGAGAGGGGGAGGGAGAGGGGAGGGGGAGGAGGAGGAAGAGGAGGAGGAGGAGGAGGAGGAGGAGACGACACTCAGGATAAGGAAAAGTATCCCTAAGAGAAGCAAAAGAATCAGTCACAGAGACTGTAGTAGCTTAGGTTCTGTACTTTAGATTCAGACTAAGTATATGGAGAGACGCAGGGCCGTCCACTGTGAAGACATCGCACCTAGCCTGCCCGAAGGCATGCCTAGTCAGGGCTTGCCAATGGGTCATGGTACCTAACACAGGATGGTGGGATGGATAGTCGTCATGAGATCTGAAATACCAAGAGGTCTAGACATTTAGGGATCAGATGTAGCAGTCGCCTCTGGCCCTACAGAGAAGGAAGCAGAGGTGGGGACCAGCAAGCAATGGGGCCTCTCACTTAGCAGACCGGGGGGGGGGGGTGTAGAGTTCTGTAATATGGGAGCACAATCTTGCCCTCCTGAGAAACTAAGTCTCAAGGGAATACCACATGGGGGCGGGAGGCTCATACTGGAAGCCCCTTCACCCAAGCATCCTGGAAGTTTTCAAGATGGTTCCAGAGTGAAGGAAGAATTTATTTGGTTTTGCTTAACATCTAGGGCTGGCTGGAGTGGCAGGTGGTTGGGGATGGGGGGAAGTCACCTCATTCCCAACATTGATGTCAGCGCTTCCCGGGAAATCGCCTTCTCACCTCTCCAGGGCCTAAAATAGAGCAGGGGGTGGGGGTGCTGTCACAAGCTAGAGGCAGCTCCCCAGTCCCCAGCAGAGGCCCTGAGGGAGCAGAGGACCCAGGAAGGGGTTCCCTGCATGCACTCAGTGACCCATGGTTCCAAAGTATAAAAAAATACTGTGGTCTTGGGAGGTCGGGATGGGGTCTAGTTGTTGTCACATGACCATACACACTCAGTCCCCAGGGCAAGCACTGCTAACCAGAGACAGACACCCATCACGTGCCCCACATGCTCAGAGACATTTCAGTTAGATGTTGACTGGGGTCTTAAGAGCTCTCCAGGAGACCCCAAGCCCCTCACAATGGGTCTATCATACCCAAGAAGCCCAGGAACTGGGTTGAAGGGTCAACTGGGGGTGTATTTCTGACCATAGACACATCTGGAGGACTCTGTGGAACCTCTGCCCCTTAAGATTGGGACATGGGAGAGAGATGGAACATGTTAGCCTTATATAAACGACCCAGGTAGTTAGTTAGTGTTTGCTTTAGGGAGAAGGACTGGGGTGCCCCACATGGAACCCAGGAGCCCTACAAGGGAGGCAGGGACCTCTTTGTCAAGAGAAAGCAGCCTAGGAAACAGGGTTTAGATTCCCTGTGACCACTTCTGCCTTGGGTGATCTAAGGATCCTGGAGGAGGCACTGAGGAATGTGTGTGTGTGTTTGTGTGTGTGTGTGTGTGTGTGTGTGAGAGAGAGAGAGAGAGAGAGAGAGAGAGAGAGACAGAGAGAGAGAGAGACAGAGAGAGACAGAGAGAGAGAGAGAGAGAGAGAGAGAGAGAGAGAGAGAGAGAGAGATTGAGAGTTCAACAGGACCTCTGCCCTCCACCGTGCCCTACCTTCCCAAGTGCCACAACCTTCCGCCAGCAGAGGCCTCAGGGTTGGGGTACTCCATTCAAGAGTACTAAGTCCTAGAGGTGAGCTAGGGGCATCAGCCACGCCCCGCACCCAATTCCCCAGATGGACATCACTGAGTCAGACGTCAGGGACCCTCTTCACCCTGCCACCCTCCACCTGCCAATCTACGGGTGGCGGCTCCTTATGCAAAGGGGTGGCTGCGGAGAGGGTCTCAGGATGGGTGCACCTGCCAAGGGAGTGCCCGGAAGAGGGGTTCTTCAGGCGGTGCCCCTTTTGTCCTACCGCAGCGGAGGCCCGGGCCCCGGCTAGGGGGCGGGGGGCGGGCCCAAAGCTCACGTGCTTGCCGCTCGCCTCTTAACCCGGCTCCGCCGCCCCGCCGGGATGGCCGCGGCCAGAGCGCACTGAGCCCCGCTCGCCGCCGGCGTCGCCCGCCCCCGCCCTCCTCCCTCCCTTTTCCCCTCCCTCCCTCCCCGCGCCGCTCGCAGCCGCAGCCCCCGGACCCGGAGGATTATGAGCGAACCATGAGGCGGCTGCGGCGCTGGGCGATCGCGGCTCTGCTGCTGTTGCCGCTGCTCCCCCCTCCCGGTGAGTGACCCCCGCCGCCTGGCCCCTGCCCACGCGCCCCTGGCCAGTCCGCGCCCCGGGCTTTTGCAGCGGTTTCTGCTGCAGCCACATTTTCCTGCAGTGCTCCGAGTGACAGCCGGTCCCGAGCTCGGGAGGGTAGGGCAGTGGGAGAGAAGGGAAGGTGCTTTCACCCACCTGTCCGGATCCGGCCGGCCCTACCGCGGCCATCCCCTGCAGCTGGCCGGCGGACTCTGCAGGTCTCTGCGGGCTTGGAGTGGGGGGGCAGTCGTGACTGTTGGGCAGAAGGAAGCTCGCGGCCCCCTCCCCGTGAGGGTTCTTCCCTCAGCAAGGCAGCCAGATCCTCCCACCCATATGCCCACTGGGCTCCAAGGGCCGCGATCGAGTGGGGGTTGGAGCGTGCCCCCTCGTCCCACGTCTCCTGCCCCATGGAGGGCATCTGCCTGCAGCTATGGCCTTGTCTCCTCAGGTCTTGGGGCCCTGGGTCCCAGTGGAGCTCTGCACTGGAGGAGCTCAGCCCATGTGGGGAGCCCAGAGAGTCCAGAGGGCCCTGAGGTCACAGAGCCCAGTCGACTGGTAAGGGAGAGCTCCGGGGGAGAGGTCCGAAAGCCACAGTTGGACACCAGGGTCCGCCAGGATCCGCCTAGGGGGACGGTGAGTGGGGCTGGGTGGTGAGCCAGGGGGCTGGAGCAGGCCTTATGGCCCACAACAGTCCGCCAAGTAGCCAGGGTGCAGTGCCACCCGCTGAGGCTGCAGCTCCTGCAGCCTCTCTTTCGGTGCAATGGGCCATCAAGTGGGGCTGGAGCCCAACAGTGGGGACTCCGGGACTCTCCAGCTCCCGGCCCCTCCTCTCACTGTGGAAACCCCCTGCCCTGCACATCAGTAGACACTGGCATGTTCAGGTTTCAGTTTGCTTAGGGTCATCCTTCAACCAGCCCCCCTCCCCACTGCCCACCAGAAACAGTGGTTCTGCCTAAAAACAGGTCTTGGGGGACAGCATTGTGCAGTCAAGGATTCATGCTCTGATGTCCCAGCAAAGCCACCCCTCAGTGTACTTTCTTGGAACAGTGTGATGTTTGCTCCGGCCTCAGTTTCCCGCTGTGCACACACAGGGTTATTCCTCTTGTCCTAGCTGAAGCTGGGGCCTTGCAGAATGACCTGAGGCCCAGGATTCATCTGCAAATTACCAGCTCTACCTGTGTGTGCCCTGTCCCTTTCAAGCTGCTGGGCCCCTGCTTCCCAGAGGAAGGTTAGGGATGAAGGAGATTAAGTGCAATTAATAATTAATTAATATCATGTGAATAATAACCATCCAGATGGAATAGTCATTCAGCTCAGCTCTCCAGGAGCTAGAAGCTGAAAGTTAGCCAGGCCAACAGGGGCGGCAGAGGGCTGTACAGGGAAAGCCAGGCAGAAACAGGAGGTGTAGGGAGACTCGAAGGAGGGGCCAAGCCGAGTCTGAGAAGTTTGGGGCAGCTGGGAGTGGTGGGAGGTAAATTGGGCTGGGTAGAGGGAGGAGGGGAAGAGAGGACTGGCATCTGGCCCTGCCTAATGTACTTGGTTAAAAGCCCTTAAGGGGGAGGGGGAGGAGAGGTAGTTGGGTGGTGCGGGGATGGGGAATAGTTGAGAATGGAGAGGAGCAGGAAGAAGCATGCATAATGGATGGACCATCACTCAGGGCTGAGTTGAGGAGGGGAGGGGAGGGGGCTAATGGTCCTGAGCTGGCAGCTGCTGCAGGGTTAGGGGTGGGGGTAGAGGCCAACTTCAGTGCCCACTCCGGCACCCAGGGAGGCAGCTGAATGAGCCTTGGGGATGTCCCAGGCCCGGGGGTGGAGTATCCTGGTCGCTCTTTGGTTCCTAGCGTAGCTTTCTATGAACTGTGTACGCTGCAGCACACTTGACCCCGCCTGACCACTGGGACTCTGGCTCGAGCTTTACAAGAGATATGTGCTATGGGGTCAAGGTATAGTTGAGACGCACAAGGGATGAGAAGTGGGGGCTCCAGCTCGGTAGGCTGTGACTTCCGCTAGCTCTTCCTCAGGACAGCAGGCCTGGGCTGCGGGCAGAGATGGTGAAGCACAGTAGGGCTGAGCTGGGCTCTTTGGATGTTGTTCTTTTAGGTGAATCCGTTGGCTTGTGTGTGGAGCCAGGTATAAACAAGTAACTGAATCCATCGCCTAAGAAGTGGCCAAGGTGTGGGGTGGAGAGTTCTGTGGGTCCGGGGTAGTTGTTGTCTCTGGTTGTTTCTCTGGGCCTGAGACCTCCTTGGGGACTTCATGTATCTTCCCCGGGAGAATCACTTGGCACCCTGGTGTCCCCATCCCTCAGGTACCAAAGGCTGGAGACCTGTTCAGGTGGCGAAGGGCAAGGCCGCCGAGGCCACGGGACTGCTGTGTACCTTTACATCCCTTTCTTTCCACAAGGCCATAGGCAGATACTTCCTCCTGCCCCTCTGCAGATTAGCCAGCTCAGACCCAGAGAGGCTAAGCCACTTGTCCAAAGTTAATAGACCTTAAGTGGTGATAGGAATAGTGTTGCCCAAGCCCAGGGGCGCTTTCCACTGGACTAGTCTACCTCTAGAGATTGGGAAATTTAGGCCTGAGACGGTATCTCCAACTCTCCCCAAGTCAGAAGGATGGAAGAAGGAGAAGAGACCAATGCATGCCCTGACCACGCCCTGACCACGCCCTGACACATCACCACCCCCGCCCCCGCCCCCGCCCCCAGCACACACACCTGGCACTGCTTCCCAGGGTCAGAAGTGGAAGAATGATGGAGCAGTGCAGGCGGAAACAGGACTCTACAGGAACTGTTCTGCCTCTGCCCAGACCCTGTCCCAAGGGTCACTGTAGTGCAGGCTGGGCCTCAGTGACTAGCATCCCTGGTGATGCGGATGGATAGAGGCCTGTGCTAGCCACAGGGAACCTGCCCTAGCTGGAGGCTGGTCATGTCCCCTTTCTGAGTCTTACCTGAGCTTGATTATTAATCTAGAGGTGATGATGTCTCAGCCCTCTCTAGGTGACAGCAGTCGGAAAGGCCTTCATGTGCTGGGGTCCTTTTGGGGAAGGCAGGGCTAGGACAGGAACTAGACCCCAGGTGTCACCGACACCCCTTGCTGGGGCAGACCTCCTCAGCTGTTGAAAGTCTGGGGTGACTAGGATTCATCGGAACTTCAGAAGCGTCTCTCAGATGCGGCTCTCTCCACCAAGGCTCTCATCTCTCTTATTTGGAAGATTGGGCCTGTGGCCTGGAGAAGCAGGAGAACCCAGAAAGCCAAGGTCTCAGAGAGCCTGCAGCTGAGGGAGGAAGACAAGATGCCATGGTGCACAGTTAGGTTGGCATCCACTGCAGAAGTACGTTCCCCGCAAAGAGTACGCCAGCTCTCGGAGTCCATGGGCCTAGGAAGCTGTTGTGTGCATCTTGCCTGGTCCTTAGAAACCCAGATGCTTTGGGGAACCAAAGGGAATGAGGCTGTGGGCAGCAAGCAGAGTTGGGACCCAGGGGCCAAGGTCTGCAGCGAACTCGGCTGAGCCAGGCTATCCCTGGGAGAGCCCCCATTCAAGAGCTGCCCAAGCGATAACTGCTGGGTGGTGTTTTTGCACAAGAGCAAGGGTCCAAATAAGTAACGCCCCAACCCATTTGAGACGGACACAAAGAACAGCAAGATCAGGGACCCAGGCCCCTCACGACCTCCTTCCAGAGATAAGGCCATGTTGTGATTTGCCGCTATGGCAGAGCGGGAACACAGCTCTGTGTTGGTCTTGGGGAAGACAGGCTCTCTGGAGGGGACGAGTGGCTGGAAGCCAAGGACAGGGCATTTGGGGGTTACCTGTTCAGCTCCAGGTGGGAATTTAAGGGGAGCATCGTGACATCTGCAGTCCTTCCACTACACTCTGGCCTGTGGGCCTTACCCAGCACCCTCCTGGCTGCCTCGAGGAGCCCAGCTGTCCAGAGTCTGTCCCCAGAGGGACTGATGACCCTGTAAGGAGGTGACTCTGTCCTCAAAAATTTAGGTCAAATCTGATCATCGGAAGTCATGCACCTGTTCTTCTTGTCTCTGGCCGATGCCCTGCTGATGAATGGAGCCTGTCCACCGTGCTGGTGTCTGCTGGGCAGGAGGGGGTGGCTGCTGGATGAGGGGGCTCCCGGGCAAGGCCCCCTCTTTGGCTTCTTCCTGTTTGCTGTCACCCAGCCCCAAGAGTGTCTGCAAACACAGAGAGTGGGGGGAGACCCTCACAGGTAAATAAATCACTCCACCCAGATCTGGAGCACCAAGCTCCATTCATGTCACCATCCACAGGAAGTGTTTTGCCCTCAAAGCCCTGTTTGGCTTCAGGCTATGGGGGCCCCTCATGTTGTGATTACTGACCCTAACTAAAGGTGTGCTGAGCTGAGTTTCACACCATGCTCATAACACCCATTTTAACGGTAGAAAAACTGAGGGTAGGGTGAATGGCTCCTCAGGTCTTACACTGTCCGTACACTCCAAAGACTGTTGAACACTTGGATGGGGAGGAAATAGCCCTTGCTCCAAACCAGTAAAGGTCATTAAAAGGTGAATTAGGGATCGCATGTTCATGGGTATATATATATATGCATGTCTGTATGAGGTGTGTGTTTATGTGTGCGTGAGCATGTTTGTATTTGTATGTACATGTTTGTGAGTGCATGTGTGCATGTATCTATATGTGGTCTGTGATTATGTGTGTGTACATGTTTGTATATATATGTTTGTGAGTATATGTGTGCATATATCTATATGTGGTCTGTGATTATGTGTGTGAACATGTTTGTATGCATGTGTTTGTGAGTGTTTGTGGTATGTATGTGTAAAAACTAGGCACTTAGAGGTTGAGAGGTGTGAGTCTGGAGACTGGCAGGGGTTGGCTCCTCTGATGAGGACTACAGGGGGTGGGGTTCAGAGTCCTTGTGGGGCAGTGCCTGGAGGTTGTGGGGAGCAGGAATCTGCAGCTCTAGTTTTCTGGGGCAACCTGGAACTCTGGTGATCTTTAGCAGCCCTTCCTACCACTGAGGCCTCTGTCTTTCTCTGCCCTATGATCTGGTTGGCCCTACGCAGGACATGGAGAAACTGAGAGAAACTGAGGCATGGGCTACCAGAAGCAGGTGCCTGGGAGGCAGGGAGGACCTGGCACGGAGAGAGGCAGGTGGAGGGGCAGTCACCTGCCAGGCACCACAGCTGACATGCAGAAGCATCCTCCAGCCCAGGAGAGAGACTTGGCCTGGCACCTCCCCAGCATGACCCTGGGCCTGTCACCACCTGGTGTCGCTCCCTGGGGACCTGCCAGCCTGGGGCAGGTTGAGATCAAATGAACAGGGCATCTAAGAGTCAAGGTGGCCAAGAAGTAAGAGGCAAGCGCAGGCCATGGGGTCATGTCAAGCAGTCCTGAGCAGTGCTGAGCTGGGGCTCATTAGGCTGAGGTGGCCCATTGCTGTGACCTCGGGTCTGGAGGGCCCAAGGGACTGAGGGTAACAGGAGGAGACAGGGCTGGGACAGTGGGCCAGGCCCGGCAAGGAGAGCTATCGACTTTGGTAGAAACACTAGGCAAAAGCTTGACTGGAACTTGTGGTCCAGGAGCCAGCAGCAGCCCTGTGCCTGGGATAGGGCAGGGCTCGCTTGATCTGGCACTCCCCTCTGAGCATGGACAGTTGGGGCAGGCCAACATGCCTTAGTGCCTGAATTCTCAACTACCTCCCGCCACCTTGTACAAAGTCCCTTAAGTCTGCCCCGCTCCGGCCTCTCCTCCCCATTCCACCCCTCAGACCCGGCTGCTCTTCTCTGGGCTGAGCCCCATGTCCCTTGGAGAAGGGTGGCGTGGTCCACAGCTGAGCCTCACTGGCTGCAGAGAACTGGAGAAAGAGAACCCCATCATGTCTCTCACTGCTATCTATCGGTCCCTGCTTTCCCCGGAGTGGGCTTAGCGTGGCCTTTGCAGAAACCTCCCAACCTTGCGCACTCAACTTACATTTGTCAGAGGGAAAACCTGCGGCTCACAGAGGCTTCTGTGTCATCCCTAAGGTTGCACAACTTAGAACTGGATCAAAGGAAGGGGCCTAGAAAGCTGTCTCTCCAAGCAGCCAGGATAGGGACAGACAGACAAGCCGGGGCAGTCCTGAGGTGGGAAGGGCAGGGGTGCCCAGGCAGAGCTGAAGGAGAGAGGACCAGAGCCAGGCCAGGCATGAGGGGGGACAGCAGACTTGGCCAGGTTGAAGGTGTGCGTGCGTGTGCGTGTGCGTGTGCGTGTGTGTGTGTGTGTGTGTGTAGGGACTCATTGCCCTTGGTACTCTATTCTGATCGATGCTCTGGGGGCTCAGGGTGGAGCTCGGAACCTCAGACAGCCTGGGATGGGGTGAGTCTACGTCCTTGGGGCTCACAGGTCTTGCCTTCGCAGGCCCTGGCCTTTGGTTCCACATTGTCTGCATGCCCCGAGGCTCCCATGGCCCTGGGCTGACTTCGTTCTTGTCAGCTTTCCAGAAGAGAAGGCTTGGAAGTATAGTCCCTGGGGTTGAATACCAGCCTCTAGTTTTTAATTCTTCCTCTTTTCTGTTTGGGGTACAAGGTCTCAGCAGCCAAGACAGTATGGAACTATGGAGCTGAGGTTAGCCTCGAACTCATGATCTTCCTGCCTCATCCTCCTGGGATTGCAAATTGCATCGCCACACTAAGCTTTAACCTCTTACCTGTGAGGCCTTGTGTGTAATAGTTTGCATCTCTGTGCTTTGCTTGCTTCGGTCAAGAAGGGCAGAAACAGCTGGCCCACAGGGTGGTTGAAGAGATCAAATATGGCAGTGCTCATGAAGAGTTCAGACCACCTCAGGGGCCTTAGCAGTGCTCAGAAGAATTAGTTATGGTAAGGTGGGGGAGGACTCAACTAGGCACAGGCTCTGAGACCCATTGACCTGAGTGTCAGGGCTCTCTTCCTGCAAGGTGCCCTCTAACACCAAAGAATAGTCAGTCAACCAGTCCTAACCAGACGGCAGAGTGGCAAGGTCTTACTCCAGAGATATCTGGAGGTCTGTCCTCCTAAATAGATGGGATAGGAAAGACTGGGCCCCTGAATTCAGCCCAAGCATTTCCTATGCTTGCAAAATGATTTGGAAGACCAAAGACTTTGATTGCCAGCCTTTGAATGGGGGTTGGGCTCCAGGTGTGCCCTTAAAGTGGTTGTAGCTCAGGCCAGCCCCCCCTCCTTAAGCCCAAGCTTTGCTACCCTTCTCTGGGGAGGGGGGTGTGGGTGTGTGTGTGAAACTTTCCCTCCAGCCTTTGATGTCTCTCTTCCCCCACCCCCACCGCCAGGCAGCTGGGCATCTAGGCAGAAAGGGCAGCCATCTTGCTCAGGCCTAGTCCATTGCCATAGCAACTTGGAGCCTCTCAGTCCCACTGCATATGCCCCTTTGAAAAATTTATCAGGAAAACTTCCGTGTTTAAAAATTAACCGTTGGATTGAAATATTAAAGATGAGCTGCTTTGGGTAGGCAGAGGGCAATGGATTGGGGGGTGGGAACCCCACCCTCCTGTCAAGGTAGCACCTGCCCGTGCCCAGCAATGGGGCCCCAGTGATCAGTCCCCATGTGTCTGGAGGCCTGAGTCCTGTATAGGTTGGGGTTGGGGTAGCAAGGGGCCTGCTCCCCTTCCCCTGTCCAGCCATGAGCTAAGACCGTCTACTTTTCCATGGTATGTCTGGGGCCTTCTTTCTGTTCCACTGAAGCTGGGTGACCCTGTCGTCAGCTCTGAAAGCCTGACATGAGGCCATGGGCAAGGCCAAGCTGCCTCTCTATGTCCCTGATTCTCAAAGAGACTAACCCAGAAAACAGCCAGGGCACAAAGGGTGCCCAGGACCTGGGTGAGGGTGGGTGGGCTGTGGCCAAGGTTGAACAGTTGTCCCTGGGAAAGAAGCCTCAGAGGACAAAGACCCAAGAAAGGGGTCTCCTGAGCTTCTGGGGCTTGGCCACCCCTCCCCCAGGGTTCCTCTGGGGTTCCCCACTCTTGCTTCAGGCTGACCCCTCTCTGCTCTTCCCCACGCCAGCCTGTGCACCTGGCCCAGGTGAGTTTCGTCATCCCGGCCTTCAACTCAAACTTCACTCTGGACCTGGAGCTAAACCAGTGAGTGTGGCCTGGAGCCAGGGGTTGGGCAGTGAGCAGTGGGGTGTGGCTGGCTGGGGGGGGGTTCCTGGGGGATGTAGATCCTTAGCTGGGGTGGGACCTAAGCAGGACTTGGCTTCACCTGGTGACCCCCCCTTCTTCCTGCTACTTTGTGGTTTCAGTCACCTCCTGTCCTCGCAGTATGTGGAGCGACACTTCAGCCGGGAGGGGGCAAGGCAACACAGCACTGTGAGTGTCTCTGGAAGGAGGGGGGGTAGAGGTGCTGTTCAGTGCTCACAGAGGCAAGGGTGGGGCCACAGTGGTGGAGAGCTGGCCTGGCGTAGGTGAGGCTTTGACCCCCGGAACACCAGCAGAGAGGAACACTGAGGACAGAGAGAGGATGGCAGAGGGGTGTCAGGGACACATTCAGCAAGGCCAGGTGTCTGGAAACACCCCACCCTTCCCCACCTTTGAGACTCTGTGGACCTGCAGTTAGGAAGGAGAGACTGGGTGGTGTGGGACTGAGTCCACAGCTTCAGATTGTGGTCTGACTCCCCAGGCCCCTTGCATGGTGATACAACAGGGTCTTTATTATATCACCTTAGCTTTGGAAGGGACAGCAACCCCTCCCTTATTTGGGGAGAGCTGTGGGACCACACTCAGGGTTTCGGACATCCTCGGAGAGAGCTCCATCCCTGAGCCCCATCCAGACCAAAATACCTCCTCTTGCTCTGGGAGTCCCAGATGCCTGCCACACTGGGGTCCCAGTCCCGGAGGCCCTGGAGCCTGAACAAAGATGAATGAGTGTCTATAAATAGCTTGCTCCCCCCATCCCTCTTTCCCCCCCCCAAGCCTGTTCTGTAACTGGAGCACAAGTAATTCTGCAGGAAGCGGGGTTGAGAGAGGCGGGTGCTGTCGGTCCCCTCTGACCTGTGAGCCGGTCAGGAGAAGCCATGCACAGTTTCTCAGGTGCAGACCACATGCATCTGCAGCAGGTCCTGGTTAAATGACACACTGAAGGTGGTGTGCTCAGAGCAGGGACTGGGGCATGTATGGCAGGTTCTATGTCAGAGCCAGCTATTGGTCTCAAAGGAGTCTGGGATCTTTTACCAGCCCCAACGAATAGCCAGGAGCTGCTGCTGCGGCCTAGTGTCCTCATTCTATGGGGTAGATGAAGCTGGCCCAGAAAGTGTTAGGAGCTTGCTCACGGGTGACAGAAGGCATTAGAAGCTCCACCAGCTTAGAGCCTCTGGTGTTCCTGAGACCAAAGTCCTCCTTGTCCTGTCCCCCTGTCTCCAAGCTGGGGCAGGGGGTCCTACTCTCAGCTTTTCCGCTCCACAGGGGGCTGGAGATCACTGCTACTACCACGGGAAACTCCGGGGCAACCCACACTCCTTTGCTGCGCTCTCTACCTGCCAGGGGCTTCAGTGAGTAGGGGGACACCAGGCGGCAGTGGGGGCCTGTGCCTGGCCCAGGATGCCGGTGAACTGTGCCTCTCTCCACAGTGGGGTCTTCTCTGATGGTAACCTGACTTACATTGTAGAGCCTAAGGAGATGGCTGGGCCTTGGGGACCCCCACAGGTAAACAAGGCCTGCAGGGCCTTCCTGCCTTCCTTCTGATGCATGCTGTGACTGTCCCCCAACAGCTGTGCTGCCTCCTCCCCTCCAGTAACCTCAGCCTCACTGCCCCGGATGACCCCAGCTCTGGTTCCTGCCTTCTCTGCTCCCATCTCCAATGTCCCCTCTGTCCCCCAAGTGACCTCTCACTGGGCTCCAGTGTCCTTTGCCCCTGTCTCTCAGGGCGCCCCCCAGGTCTTGACCCTGGAATCTGAGCATCTGGGAGATCAGATCCGACATGGGAGCTCTGGCCAGTTCTGGGTCACCCTGGGGTGGGGTGGGGGAAGGGCGGGAGCTGCCCCCAATCTGGGCTTAGAGCAGATCTGGTTGGCTCCCCAAGAACTAAATTCCCTCATTGCAGGGACCCCTTCCCCACCTCATTTACCGGACCCCTCTCCTCCCGGCCCCCCTTGGATGCAGGGAACCAGGTAAGAGAGGGGAAGGGGGTGGGGCTGCACAGCTAGGCCCCTCTTACCTACTGCTCCCCGCAGGCTGCCTGTTTGCTGTCCCTGCCCAGTCTGCTTCTCCCAACTGGCCCAAGCTAAGAAGGAAAAGGCAGGTACGGGGCCCGCACAGCCTCGGGCTGCAAGACCTTAGAGAATGGTCCAAGACAGGTCATCCCCTCCTATGGCTGGGCAAAAGAGAGCTCGCATCGATGAGGTCAGGGGCCAGGGAACTATCTCCAGAGAGGGCCACCTCAACAGGTCCCCATTTGGGGCCTCAGATACTGCATGTTCTCTGCTCTCGTTTCCAGGCTGGGAGGGATGGCATTTTCTGCCAGTTGGGGGCTGACACCATCCCTGACTGGAGACCAGAATGCCTCCTCCCCACAAGTCTGCTCATGGTTTGCCCATGAGTCCAGACATGGAGGGGACTGATTCCAAGTGCCCACCCACCCTCCAGGTCCGCAGGGGCCACCCCACAGTGCACAGCGAGACCAAGTATGTAGAGTTGATTGTGATCAACGACCACCAGCTGGTAAGTTCCCGGGCTGAGGGGGGAGCCTGGGAGGAGGTCCCGGTGGAGCCTTGCCTTCTTACCCCACCTCTCTTGGCAGTTTGAGCAGATGCGGCAGTCAGTGGTCCTCACCAGCAACTTTGCAAAATCTGTTGTGAACCTGGCAGATGTGGTGAGCTGCAGCTCTACTCCCCTCCCCCCTTGGCCCCCCACATCCAGGCATCCAGGGGTCATTGTCAGCCACTGACCCCCACTTCTTGAAAATATAGATTGCAGCCTCCCTCCAGCCCCCTCCCCCATCTTCTCTCTGGGTCCAGATATACAAGGAGCAGCTCAACACAAGAATTGTGCTGGTTGCCATGGAAACGTGGGCAGATGGGGACAAGATCCAGGTGCAGGATGACCTACTGGAGACCCTGGCCCGGCTTATGGTCTACCGGCGGGAGGGTCTGCCTGAGCCCAGTGATGCCACCCACCTCTTCTCGTGAGTCCCCGCACTGTACCCTGCCAGCTTTTGCTGGCTGCTAGTTCTTACTGCCTGTGCCAGGTACTCTTTTTGGGGCCTGCAGGTGGAGCTCACCTTGCGCCTGCCACCTGCTTCCAGCCACATGCACCAGCTGGGCATCCTCTGCACCTGGGGCTGTGCAGGGGCTGTGCTCTTCATCTTTCTTTGCCAGACTGCCCATCATCCCTTCCTCCGTGATGAAGTACCCTAGTGATGGACAAACCCAATTAAGGGCCCCGAAAACCTCGGTTTGGCTTATGGGTGGATGAACCCAGTTAGGGGAGGGTCCGGCCTGATATGAAGGCCTGGAATCCACTGCTCCTTCCACACCATCCTGACCACTCTCTCCCTTCTAGGGGTAGAACCTTCCAGAGCACCAGCAGCGGGGCGGCCTACGTAGGAGGCATCTGTTCACTGTCCAGGGGTGGAGGTGTGAACGAGGTAAGCACACAGGGTCCCAACCAAGACAGAGGCTTGCTAAGATACAGTGGCTATTGGGAGGATGGAGACATCCTATGATCCATCTTCCTCATCCCTAGTATGGCAACATGGGCGCCATGGCGGTGACCCTGGCCCAGACGCTAGGGCAGAACTTGGGGATGATGTGGAATAAACACCGGAGCTCGGCAGGTACCAACCCTGAAACCCACAACCTTCCCAGACACACGCAGCACAAGGGCCAGTGGGGGGGGGGGGCGCGCCTTTCCACCCTGTCTCGTGTGTTCTTAAATCTCCTCTTAGGGGACTGTAAGTGTCCGGACATCTGGCTGGGCTGCATCATGGAGGACACTGGGTGAGTTCTTGGTGACAGACTTTGGGAAGGGTTTGGGGGTAAGAAGAGGCCTTCAGGGAGCACTAGCAGTCTAGATGGGTGGCTTCAAGAGACCCAGCTCACAGGACCACTCAGGATAACCAAGAATAAAGGTTATCTGTAAATAGCTCAGGGACACTAGGACACCAAAACCGGCCAGACTGCAGCGCGCTCTCTGGCCACTGGGAGGCGCTCGAGCCTCGTGCGAGGCTTCGTCCCTCCCAGGCGTTCCAACACTGGGCTCTTTGTCCCGAGGTTCAAGGGAGCGAACGCAAGGGACGTCCTCCACCCATTCTCAGATGGGAGTCTGGGATTGACTGTCGTGCAACCACAGGGCAGTTCCTCGGTCTCCTTGTAGTAATAACCAAGGCTCCCGAGGGAGGGCTGCCCCCAGCAACACAGTCCCCCTCACGCCCGCCCAGGTTCTATTTGCCCCGCAAGTTCTCGCGCTGCAGCATCGACGAATACAACCAGTTTCTGCAGGAGGGAGGCGGGAGCTGCCTGTTCAACAAGCCCCTCAAGGTACCGGCGCAGAGAACCGGGAAGCGGGGGTGGGCAAGTCCCAGCCAGGCTCCCGACATCCCCTCTCCCTCCAGCTCCTGGACCCTCCCGAGTGCGGGAATGGCTTCGTGGAGGCGGGCGAAGAGTGCGACTGCGGGTCGGTGCAGGTGAGCAGTCCGGGTGGGCTCCTGTGTGGGCCCGGGACGCGCGCGTGGGCTCCAGGAAGGGAGAGCACAGAGTGAGAAGGGGCTAACCCGCCTCTCCACTTCTCCCCGCGACCCTCAGGAGTGCAGCCGAGCGGGGGGCAACTGCTGCAAGAAATGCACCCTGACGCACGATGCCATGTGCAGCGATGGGCTCTGTTGTCGCCGCTGCAAGGTGAGGACTAAGGGAGTGAGGGGTGGGGTGGGGGGGGGGGAAGAAGCAAAGAAACGATTGGATGCTCTCAACAAGAGGCGGGAATGAGGAGGAGCTGAGTCTGTGTGGGCGGGCCTTGTCCCGAAGAAATCACCAATGGGGGATGAGTTAGTAGCTGGGGGCCGGAGGTAGGATGGGGTGGGGTGGGGGAGTCACCCTTACTGTTAGGGTGAGGAGGGACGGGAAATGAGAAACAGACCTTGGGACCCACGTTCCAGGACAGTAACCCTGGAAGGGCAGTGGCGAGATATTTCTCCTTCCCAGAAACACATGCATGCTTTTCCTAGTATGAGCCACGAGGTGTCTCCTGCCGAGAAGCGGTGAACGAGTGTGACATTGCAGAGACCTGCACCGGCGACTCAAGCCAGGTCTGCTAAACCAGCTGTCCTGTGGAAGCTCAAAAACAAGGCAGCCCCCTCTCTTAGAAGTTTGGCTCTGAAGAGCTGAGCTGACTACTCTCGGTGTCCTCTCTTGCTTAGCAGCCGGCCACACTGCCCGCCGCTAACCAGCCTCCGCTTTTTCTGCTCTGAGAAAGGGGTCAGGCCACCTAGCTCCGTTCCTTCAATCATTAAATAAGCATTTGTAGTGAAGCTGGTACTCCCATTGCCTGGCACCAGTGTCTAGCGTGTTCTAGGAATCAGATGGGTCGTAACATCAGTTAACTAGATCTTAGGAAACTGGGGAAGCCTGGGAGTCTTACCAGTCAAATCCAGAGCCAAACAGCCCCCCCCCCCCCCGTCCTTCATGTGGAAGAGCCATGTAACATGAGGCCTCTTTGGGAAGCTCTTGGTACCCTGCATTCTTCCCCAGTACCTCAGCTCAGCTCTGGGCTACCCTGCTCAGCCAGCCCCTCTCTCTACAGTGTCCTCCTAACCTTCACAAGCTGGATGGTTACTACTGTGATCATGAGCAGGTATGAGGGAAGGGGTTGGGGTCCTCCCGTCCGAATTCAGTGCAGTTGTGTCTCCACTATGATCTCCCATGCTTCCTCTCCTGTGGATCATAGGGTCGTTGCTACGGAGGCCGCTGTAAAACCCGGGACCGGCAGTGCCAAACCCTGTGGGGCCATGGTGAGTCCAGCTGGGTATAGAGAACAGTGACTCAGGAAAACACAAAACTCAAGAGTTAGGCTGGGACAGCTTCCGGTTGAACATGTCCTGCAAACGACATGTGGCTTCTGAAGACCTTGGGCATCAAGCCCAAGGATTAGGCCCGAGGTTTAGAGGTGCAAGTCTGAGGTCCTAGAGGGGTCCAGGGGTCTGTGGGGTGATGCTTCATCCCCGCCTCTCTCTCCCTCTCTCTCTAGTGGCTGCGGATCGTTTCTGCTATGAGAAGCTGAATGTAGAAGGGACAGAGCGAGGAAACTGTGGGCGCAAGGGGTCTGGTTGGGTCCAATGCACTAAGCAGTGAGTAGCATCCCAGCGCCAGGGTCAGGGAATCTCCAAAGGTGAAGGCAGCAGGCTCCAGGAAGAGCCTGTGAGACCCGAGGGGAAAGAACCCAGGTTCAGTACTTGGGTCTACAGTGAAATTTGGATTCATCATCCCCATGTGTCCCAACAGGGATGTGCTTTGTGGCTTCCTTCTGTGCGTCAACATCTCTGGAGCTCCTCGGCTAGGGGACCTGGGGGGTGACATCAGCAGTGTCACCTTCTACCACCAGGGCAAGGAGTTGGACTGCAGGTGTTGTCTGGGACCGTGGCTGGGGAGGATGAAGGGACAACTGTGACTGAGACTAGAGGACAAGGGTTGAGGCTGGCTATACCGTGTCTCCAGGGGAGGCCACGTGCAGCTAGCTGATGGCTCAGACCTAAGCTATGTGGAGGACGGCACGGCTTGTGGACCCAACATGCTGTGCCTAGATCACCGCTGCCTGCCAGCCTCGGCCTTCAACTTCAGCACCTGCCCTGGAAGCGGAGAGCGACGGATCTGCTCCCATCATGGGGTGGGTGTCTGGTGGGGGGGGAAGCACGCTGGAGGAGGCTCACACAGGGACATGGCCCTGCTTACCCATGCTGGCCTCACCCACCTGTAGGTTTGCAGCAATGAAGGAAAGTGTATCTGTCAGCCGGACTGGACAGGCAAAGACTGCAGTATTCACAACCCACTGCCTACATCCCCTCCCACTGGGGAGACTGAGAGATACAAAGGTAAGGCTGAAGCTGCCTAGCACCGTCTGTGTTGCCCGTTTTCCATGCTTGTCCCTGCCAACCAAGCCCTGCCCTCCTCCCCAGGTCCCAGCGGTACCAACATCATCATTGGCTCCATCGCCGGGGCTGTCCTGGTCGCAGCCATCGTCCTGGGCGGCACGGGCTGGGGATTTAAGTAAGAGACACAAGATCCCTAGATCCCCTCCAGGTGCTTGGGGGTTTGGCACCCCAGACTGTTGGAGCCTAATGGCCTCCCTGACAGGTTAGCTCAGCCTGAACTCACACATCACTCCTGCAAGCCAGCCTTCGGGGTCTGGTTAGGACATTTTAAGAATCCACCTGCTCATGTCTAAACACCAGACTTTACGGGAACAGCCTTGACTCCCAGCCTCCTGAAGACTGCATCCCAGCACTGCCAGGGGAGAGGTGGCCAGGGTGTGTCTGAGATGTCCCCCAGTCCCTGTCCACATTCAGCTCAGGAACTCCAGGACACTGCAGTTAGGGTCTGGTCTAGGCCCCATACTGGGCACTTGAAGAGCCCTGAGGCCCAAGGTCACAAGGTGACTTAGTGGCCGAGCTAGGATTTGAACCCTCTACCAAGATGGGACAGATCTCCATGGTCCATTTATGGGGCAGGGCTTCCTGAGATGGAAGGCCATTCTTTTGGAGAACAGGAGGTTCACCCAGTTTCTTTTCCTGTCTCTCTTGCCTGTCCTCCCTTTGGCTCCTGAAGAAACATCCGTCGTGGAAGGTATGACCCGACCCAGCAGGGGGCAGTGTGATGCCGGCCACGTCATCCCTCCCGCTGTCCTTGTCTCCATTTCATCTGTCCCTTTGCATTCTGTTGACCGGGAGCTGGGACCGATCCGATTCCCGCAGCCCTGCAGGCAGCCTGGGCAGCAAGTCCTCAGGCCCTTCCTCCTGCTCACCCGCCTGTTGGGCCCTGGTCCACCTTCATCTGTCCTTTTGCTGCCGGGTCCTATGGCCGGGTGGGCGCTGGAACTGTGCCCTGCAACCCCTACCCCTAGGAGGGGACCTCCCCCTGCGTCCTGCCCATCTGTTTTGTCTACCATGCCACCGCTGTCTGACCTCTGCCAGAACCCCCACCTGGCCAGCCTGTGACTTGATGCCTCCAGGACCTCTGGGGAGGAGAAGGGCATCTGGAGGGTTCACCCTCAGAGCCCAATCTCACGTCCTCTCCTGATGCCCTCTCTCCATTCCAGGTCCGGAGGGGCCTAAGTGCCACCCTGCTCCCTCCGAGCCTGGCACCCACCGTCTCGGCCCTGAACCACGAGGCTGCCTCCACCCAGCTACAGAGGGAGGCACCATGCAAATGTCTTCCAGGTCCACCCTTCAACTCCTGGCTGCACAGGGGTTGGGGGTTGGGACTATGGCCTTGCCTTTCAGACCACCTGGGTAGAGGGGCCTGGAGGAGGGCACTTACTGCCCAGTTCCCCATCTCACCTCATGCGGCTTTGGCCTTGCACACGTGTCCCCCTGTGAATGTAGCCTCCATCACCACAGCTCATGTTGGGGCCTGGACTGGTGCCTGCTGGGAGCAGCTGGGTGGCCCCTCTTCAAAACCAGGCAGCTGGAACCAGGGTGGTCGCTCCCCTGGACCTCACGGGAAGGGGCTGAATTACAGTTTATCTTTTTTTTTTTTTTAACTTAATCTTAACTGATGAATGTAACCTTTGGGTTGCTGGGGCCAGGGGGCAGTTGTAAGGATGTTTTGACACTTACAAGAGGGCCTCCAGGGCCTGAGGCCTTGAGACCTCCCACATCCCTCTCTGGGAGGCCCAAACTGGAATCCTGTCAGGGAACCCAGCGGGGGCAGGGCAGCCCTGCTCGCCTGCCCCACCTCGCCCAGCTTAGTAGAAGTCTGAGTGCTGATTCAAACCAAAGCTGCCTGTCCCGTGCCCACTGCCTAGCTCATGGGACTCTCTGTCCCAGACTGTCTTCGATTCCAAACTGACCATCCTGTCCCTGCCAGGGTGCATGCATTTGGGGGTATAGAAAAATATAGTCCCTAAAATAAACGGCACCTTTCCCCTTTCAAGAAGGGTGATTCTGGGGCTGTCTCAGGGTTCAGGTGCCCCCTGATGTGGCCTAACTGCTCCAGAGCAGGCTATCTTAGCAGGGAGGACTCTCGTAGGGAGAACCACGGGTGCCCCTGTGGCCCAGGGTCTGTGCCTGTGATGTGTAAGAGGAGATGAGGAAAAGGTAGGCCTCATGGATGGGTTATAGGCTACTAGGAAAATCCTCACATCCTCAACCCACACCCACCCCCATCAGAACTTTGATTCATCCCCTGTAGTCTAGGGCTGAGTAGTAAGTTTACAGATGTTCCTGTCTGCCCTCCTCTGGTCCTTGCTGCCGCCCAGCCTGAGAGCTGGACCAAGGCTGGCAGAGCTGCTCAGTCCTCCCACGCAGTCCAGCAGGGCCTGCCTTCACAACCCTATGTGAGGCAGACAAGCTCTGGCTCCACGCCCTAAGAGCCAGCTGGCAGGGCAGGATGGAGCAGGCTCCCTTATGGATGAAAGCCACAATGAAAGGAAGCCCCTTCTTGGGGACACCCCACTCAGGCTAAGTAGTAGTTCTGGACACCCCAGAGCCAGAGAGTTGCCCTTTTGTGTTCCTCCTATTTCTGAGGACTCTTCGAGGAAGGCTAATGGAGAAAAAAAAAAGGCTTCGATTACCTAAACCAACCCAGTGGGCCCTTGGAGCCTACAACCCATTGGCAGCTTTGGGGACGGCCAGATGGTGTTGCCCACAGTAGGGTCCTCTGCAACTGAGCTCCAGCTGCCACTGTCCTAGTGACAACAGGACAGACTCAAGCCACCAGCCCCACTAGCTAAGGACTGGAGAAAGGCTGGATTTTTCATTGTTGCTGGGATACCTTGAGACCTCCCTCCATCAGGTGGCACATGCGCACACAGGTGGCCATGCACCTGGGTGCAGACATGTGACTCCATACCTCTGCACCACTGTGAAGGCCTCTGCATACAAGGGCATGACCATATGTGTCCTTGGTGAAGAACACAAGACTTCCTGTGACCAGTCCACCCGGGGCCCCCAACTTCCTGCATCCCCCTGCCCCACCCTAGCAGTGCCTGTCCTGGCAGCACCTAGGAAAGAAAGAGAGGAGGGAGGGGGTCTGCATTCACCTGGCCTGGACCTGGGTCCCTCCACATCCTGTAAATATGTCATCTGGGTTGGGGTGGGGAGGCAGGGCCCGGGGGCCCATATTAAAGATTAAAGATCACATTCTGAGCTTCCACAGAGCTCACACCAGCCCATGTCTCTCCTCTCTCTCTCTGTAAGTGATCGTTCTGAGTCAGTCTCTCTGCCCAGACTCTGGAGTTTTGACAACTTGGCTGCAGAGGACAGGACAAGAGCACCTAGGACAGTTGGGGAAGCAGAAGGAAGGGGTGTGGTTTCCCTCAGTGAATGAGGAAACGGGCGGTGGGCGGAGGCGAGATCCTCCCTTCCTCACAGTCGCCACAGTGACACTGCCCCTCCTTGGTCTTCAGCAAGCAAAATTAGAGATGGGGGAAGCAGACAGGAGGGGGCCAGGGCACACAGACACTAGGACTGAATGCCCTCATGATTAGTTGAAGCCAGAGAAGCCTTGGGACTTGTCTGACACTTACCTTTGTTCACTGAGCCTGGCAGGGTGGCGGTGGGCTGAAACAGAACCATCACAGCCGAAAAGGCCGGGTGTGGACCTGGAACCTCCTGCTGTATTCCTACTCGGGAGGCAGTCAGTTTGGGGAAACACGAGCCACAGAGGTGCCAATCAGCTCAGAGGAGACTGGAGGGAAGAAGTGGAGGAGGGGGTAACAGAGAGGGAAAAACAGCAGAAACACACCAGGCGTGGGGATGCAGGTACTGGCAACTTGTCCAGGATTGTAGCTACCTGGGTTCATAAGCAGAAATAGGCTTGGGGTCACATCCAACCTAGACTCCCGATCTGCCTGTCCTCTGCTCTCTTGGCCATCTCAGACCCCCAGGATAAAGAGTATCTCAGTGATGTATCTCTGGAGGCCCACGGCAACTTCTTCCCATTCAGTGCACAGAGGGAAGGCATAAGTCATCCTCAAATCTGTCAGTCACCCCAACAGCCGAGGCTCGCCCTGCTTCCTTGCTCTGGGCTGGATCATCCTATTTTTAACTTTCTCCATAGCTCCTGTCTCTCAAATCATCCATCTCCCTGCTTAACCCCTTCTCCATCCCCAGCTTTTATTGGATGTCCCCATCGCTGGCCCCAAAGGTTGTGAGGAACATGGAAGGGTGGCCGGGCAGGGAGAGGGCACAGGCACTCCATTCTGGAAGACAAGCAGGGTCACCACCTGCTTTACACAGTAAGTTCCAGGTCAGTCAGGGCTACATAGTGAAACCCTGTCTCAAAGAACGGAAGAAAAAAGAAAAGATAAAAACGTCCTGCTTGGATCACCTCCCATACTGTGTCTCCATCTCCGTCCTTCAGCTACTCAGTACTCCCCAGTCGGGATTTCTGGGCAAGGCATTCACTCAGCTGTGCCTCCCAGTTACATCTCTGGATCTCTGGCTAACAGTGTCCCCACTGTCCCCTCTTGCCTGTTGCGGATGGCCAGGAAGGATCCAGGCTGGGGTCAGGTAGCCACTCTATACCTCACAGACACTGAACCCACTGTTGAGCTGAAGGAACTATACATTGATTATAGCTTGTCCTGGTGTCTATATCAAGACTGTGTCTGTCCCTTCCAGATGGATACGATTTGGGCCACACAGACACGTTACATACATATTTTAAAACTTCTTAACAGCCTACTTTAAAAGAAGCAGGAAAAGATTGACTATTTCATTCAGTGCAGTCTACCGAAATTATCCTCATTTCAATACAGAATCATCTCAACATAAAACAATCCAGGGCATGTAGGCAGGTGCTCTCTCTCCCAAAGCCACATCCAGGAGCCAAGATGTCACATTCCTTTTCTTGAACCTTTTTCTTTTTAAACCCAGAAAGCCTTTGTCCTAGTTAGGACTTCTAGTGCTGTGATAAAAAACAAAAACAAAAAAATATATGACCAAAAAGCAAGTTGGGGAGGAAAGGGCTTATACTTCCACATCACTGTTCATCACTGAAGGAAATCAGGACAGGAACTCAAGTAGAGCAGAAACCTGGAGGCAGGAGCTGATGCAGAGGCTGTGGAGGGTGCTGCTTAATGGCTGGCTACTCATGACTTAAGGCTACTTAATGGCTGAGCCTACTGTCTTATAGGATCACCAGCCTAGGGATGGCACCACCCACAGTGGACACACAATGGCCTGGGCCCTCCTCCATCAATTACAAATTAAGAAAATGCCATACAGGCTTGCCTCCAGCCCAATTTTATGAAGGCACTCTCCACCATCACCACCCCTTCTCTGGCTTCTCAAGGCAGGGTTTCTCTGTGTAGCCCCAGCTGTGTAGTCCTGGCTGGCCTGGAACTTGCTTTGTAGATCAGACCAACCTGGAACTTATGAGATCCACCTGCCTCTGCCTCCCGAGTGCTGGGATTAACGGCATCAATTTCTGAATCTTCTCAGATGCCTTCCTTTAGTTTGTGTCAAGTTGACCACAACTTTTTTTTAAAAGATTTTTTATTTACTTTATGTATATGAGTACACAGTAACTGTCTTCAGACACACGAGAAGAGGATATCAGATCCCATTACATATGGTTATGAGTCACCATGTGGTTGCTGGGAATTGAACTCAGGACCTCTAGAAGAGCAGTCAGTGCCCTTAACCGCTGAGCCATCTCTCCAGCGACCAGAACTTTTAAATCGGAGATATGTTCTACACTTGAAGCATGTCTAAGTTTGGACTAACCACATGTCAAATCAAATACCCAGTAGTCTTTGTGTGGCTGTAACTGGCACCATGGAGGAGCAATACAGAAACCCAGAAATCTTGGAATCAGGCAAGAGCAGCTACACAACATGACAGACCTGGGTCAGCCAGAGGTCAAGGGGACCTCTGTGTACCCACTGTTGCTAGAAGTCAAGAGAAGAGCTTAGGCCTGAGGCTAAGGTGGGAAGACGGCAAATTCAAGGACAGACCAAGACACATCACATGAAACCATCTCAAAAGAGAAGACCCAGGGACTCACCAACAGTAAGGTAAGACCTCGATCTGCCCTGTCCCTGCGGTACAATGAGATCGTCTGGCCTTTCTGGGTCAGCAGAAGACAGTGGCCTAGCTTAGACCAGGTGCAGAGAGAATTCTTGATGACCTCCAGCCAAACCCAGGAAGTTCCAACAAGCCTGAGTTCCTTAGGCACTCCAGTGTTCACAATAAATCATGAGGGAAATAAACACCGCTGTCTTGTCCTTACCCAAAGGCCATCTCCAGTGACATGCCCTGAATCTGGCCCTGGTGGTCCTTGCCATCAGGAGGTACATTTGTCTGTTCCCCTCAAACCCCACCTTCAGTGTGATGTTGGGCTGGGAAGCCGTGGATGATGTCTTCCATGCAGAACCCAGGGGGTGGCCTTCCACCAGCTCACACGCCACAGTCCGAGTCAGTGCTCAGGGTGAACTGCCACCCCGTTACCTGGAATGCTGGCAGAATACTTTCAAGAGGGAGCTTTAGCTTCCAGGGGCCTCTAACAGATCCTGGCTGTCCTCCACTCCTGCACAAAATTATGTACGTGTTCCATCTGGCTGCAGACAAAGTGGCACCCCTTGGGGAGGGGACCCAGACAGTCCTCATAGCCTGGGTCTGTGTTATCTCGGGAGGCTTCTGGCTTTCAGGTCTCAGCCCTCTGGACATCACTGGCCAGCACGTGGACTGAGCTCCAGGGTGTCGCTCTGCCCCTCTCTCCACGTCCAACCCCTCCAGCAGAGCCCTGTCTGCTGGGCAGCCTCCAGACTTCCGGACAAGTGTCTGAGAGGCTGCCAATCTCCATTCTCCCCAAGAGTTGCTTGTTTGCAGCTCCAGTGCCCACTTGGGTTTAAAATAAACTCATTATCTCCCTTTCCTTCAGCTGACCCCCAGCAACGCTCCCACCCAGCCTGATCCAGATGGACCCTG